GATTAGAATGCTTCTCACCGACCTTAGCGTGTAGGGGTGTGATGTCCTGGGCAGGAAACGACAGTGTTTTGACTACTCTTCTTTCATTAATTAACGTGTTTAGGTAATTAACCTTTACTAATTCGTGTTAAACCAACACAGGATGTTTTCTGGAAATGGATATTCTCGAATGTCAAAAGACTGACACGACACGTGTTAATAACTGTCCAAGCACTTCTAAAGTTCCTAACATTATTTATATCTAAACACTAGTATTTTATCTAATTATTTACCACTTTATTGTCTCATATTTCAGTAGTTAAAGAAAACACAGAACTCAAAGTGAAGCCCTTTTCCCTCTACATTCTCAACATAGTCTCTATCAGAAGTGTTTGGCTTGTGTTGGGTCCGACTTGGCCCGGGCGGTCAAAATCAACTTTAAACACACAGATGTATCTTCAAATGTGACTAAATCTATAGATTAGTGTTATATCTACCTATACACCAATTTATAATGTCACAGATCGCAGTATTTATAGAAGACATGGGGCTTAAAGTGAAGCCCTTTTCCCCTCTACATTCTCAACATAGTCTCTATCAGAAGTGTTTGGCTTGTGTTGGGTCCGACTTGGCCCGGGCGGTCAAAATCAACTTTAAACACACAGATGTATCTTCAAATGTGACTTAATCTATAGATTAGTGTTATATCTACCTATACACCAATTTATAATGTCCAGGTGTATCGCATTTAAAGAAATCTGCGCCCTTAAAGTGAAGCATTTTTACTGTATTTTCTTTAAAAAATCCAAGTCAGAAATGTTCGGTCCGACCTGGCCCGGGCTGTTAAAATCAACTTAAACCTCACAGATGTATCATCAAATGGATTCACATCTATAGATTAGTATTATATCTACCTATACACCAATTTATAATGTCACAGATTGCAGTCTTTATAGACAACAAGGGGCTCGAAAGTGAAGCCCTTTTCCCTCTACATTCTCAACATAGTCTCTATCAGAAGTGTTTGGCTTGTGTTGGGTCCGACTTGGCCCGGGCGGTCAAAATCAACTTTAAACACACAGATGTATCTTCAAATGTGATTAAATCTATAGATTAGTGTTATATCTACCTATACACCAATTTATAATGTCCAGGTGTGTCGCATTTAAAGAAATCTGCGCCCTTAAAGTGAAGCATTTTTACTGTATTTTCTTTAAAAAATCCAAGTCAGAAATGTTCGGTCCGACCTGGCCCGGGCTGTTAAAATCAACTTAAACCTCACAGATGTATCTTCAAATGTGATTAAATCTATAGATTAGTATTATATCTACTTATACACCACTTTATAATGTCACAGATTGCAGTATTTATAGACAACAAGGGGCTCGAAAGTGAAGCCCTTTTCCCTCTACATTCTCAACATAGTCTCTATCAGAAGTGTTTGGCTTGTGTTGGGTCCGACTTGGCCCGGGCGGTCAAAATCAACTTTAAACACACAGATGTATCTTCAAATGTGATTAAATCTATAGATTAGTGTTATATCTACCTATACACCAATTTATAATGTCCAGGTGTATCGCATTTAAAGAAATCTGCGCCCTTAAAGTGAAGCATTTTTACTGTATTTTCTTTAAAAAATCCAAGTCAGAAATGTTCGGTCCGACCTGGCCCGGGCTGTTAAAATCAACTTAAACCTCACAGATGTATCATCAAATGGATTCACATCTATAGATTATCACTTGGCGCTAAAGCCTAAGGGATATAGGAGTTACTCCCCTTGGCTCGCTGGTTTTCGTCAATAGGCATTTCAGTGTCGTGGGTGGCACTACGGTCAGCTCTGGCGACGGTTACTGTTTTGTATATTATTGAAGTAGGACTGTTTTAACATTTGAGATACAGTACTTATATTGTCAGTAATTTGAATGTAGAGAACAACTTACAAAGAGAGACGAGTCATACCAGAATGAGCGACAGAGTGTAGCACCACGCCGCATTTGGCAATATCCCAGCAACATCAGGGCAGGGGACACCAGAAATATGTTTCACACATTGTACCCATGTGGGGAATTGAACCTCAACTCTGTATATCCAGGCTACCCTACAAACCCAAATCATAAGAAAATTCATTGGCAAAAATTGGCTAAGACTGTAATTCATGAAGTATGATAGATATAGGTCACCTGATGAAGGAGTAAGCATATACTCCGAAACGTTGTGTTCCTCATAATAAAGAAGTTGACATCCATATATTCTCTTTATTATATGATATATATAGTTCATGGGCCAGACCCTCAACTAGGGGTTGTCAGAGAGCTAATTGAGAGCTAATTGAGGAGAATTACAGCAAATTCAAAAGGAGATTACTAACAGGTGATGAAACCACTATGATCCCGAGTCAAAACGTCAATCCATGGAGTGCCTTCTATCCTGATTTGCTTCATCACCTGAGAGATTCTATCAAACAAATGCGGCGAGGAATGCTGACTGCTGGAGTTAAGACAATGTCTCTTCTCACACCTCCTGACTTGCAAAGGCTGCTGCACGACAATGCGGGTTCGCAGAGCTTCCTCACCCTCCACACTCGCCAGACCTGGCACCAAGTTGTTTCCACCTGTTTCCTAAACTGAAAGAACAACTCCGTGGAAAGCGCTATGACAATGATGACCTCAAAGTTGCCGTGAATGGGTTTTTCAGGCTGGCTTCAGAAAACGTTCTCCTGACTAGAATTGAAAAGCTTCACTATCGATATGAGAAGACTATTGAAAAGCAAGGAGGTTATTTTGAAAAATAAAATTAAAAACACTTTCACAATTGTTGGTTTTGTATGTTAGGCTTTTCGACTTTTTGAAAATCCTCGTATTTGCGTTTGACAATAAAAAAGCTCGTTTTCCACCAACTGTAAAACTTGAGAACTTGTTGTTTAAAACTGAACAAATGTCAAATACAGAACATCTTATCCCCAACAACAGTCGTGCAAAGAAATCTTACTCTAGCTTCAGGTGGCGTTTTGCAGTAAATGTGGAGGGGATACCCTGCTCCTAAACACGGACAGTGCTCCACTATGACTGCGTGGAGTACTGTCTGTAATGTGGCCTTTAGCTCCAAAGTCTGTCTTAAAGGTGCAGGAAACTCGGGAGTTTATTTTCCCCCTGCCATTTGTGCTACAAGGACAGATTATTGTCTTGTCCCAATCTTCTTCATATTTCTTGAAAACGACGTCCTGTGCAGTAGATACACTAGTTTTAATCGTGAGTCCGTTGGAAACACATGAGGTTGCTTGGTATCTACATTCTTACCCGGAATGACCGCCTCCATAAGCTCCAGTGGATAGGGAGTGTGCCGGGAGCGGAGAGAGACCTGGTTCAACTCCAATACGCGTCATGACAAAATATGTGGTATTTGTTGTTTAAAATGTGGTATTTGCAGTTTCCCTGCCTGGCAGTATACTTTGTCAGAGCGGATAATAGATATTCAACTACGGCATGGTATCTCAGCGGGCTATCACTATAATACCAGCATTAGTCCGGAAAAATACAAACTAACAGCAACACACACAAACACACACGTGCATGAACCTCGTGGCATTAGTGCAATAATCTTGAACACGACGTTAAACCTCATTTCACACATCTTAGTCGAAATTCTCTATTATAGACTGTGTATGAGTAACAAAACCGTTGACAGTTCAACCTAAATTATTACTCATAACCACCAATTGGATATCCAAACAGACCATACGTAAATTGAAGCAAGTCATTTTTAGTTTCTTTTCTTGAGAGACATTTAGAAGTTGGAGTTCTTATTCAGGCCTAGATGCATGGATAAACAACTTCTTTAATAGAACCAGGCGCGACGTTTGGGTTATGGTTCTAACACATTTTGCTTGATAACGGTGTTAGAACCTTCAAGGAAACGTCGCTCCTGATTGTAATAAATAAGTTGTTCATCCATATATTGTATCCTTATTCAAGGCATTATCAGGCTGCAGTACATGCCATCGTCTAGAGAATATAAATATAAGTCGTTTTCGTTGGCATATATATACGCATTATATCTCAATTACAACAATATCTCATGTCTCTGTAAACTTTGTATGGTGATAAATGCCATTTCAAAATACATAAAGCCTTTGATATAAAAACAAGAAATGTATACATGCATAATCATTTTATTGAGACATGATTCATATTATGTTCGATATGTTCATAAAACTCGATCATCTACCGAAACATGACTTCGTATCCCAATTGCGTGGATCGATGCTCATGATGTAAATCACTGGATTGTCTGGTCCAGACGCGATTATTTACAGACCGCCGTCATACAGCTGGAATATTGCTGAGTGCGGCGTTAAACAACAAACAACCAACCAACCATCTACCGAAACACATTCCATTTGGTGCAAAAGGCAAAATAGTGAACGGATCACTGAAAATAACCCGTTGTTTTATCTTGATGTTTATATTATGCTGATGCTGTAAATGGTGCAATGTAATATGGCGCTGTCACGTTCTTGCACGTCGTTTCAGATCCTTTCAGGTCTTAGCAGATTTAGGTCAGGCAGGGACTCCTAATCGCGTTGCAGAGTTACACTTGTAGGTAGATTACTCTCACGGTTTGGTTTCGCAGTTATAGAGGGCCTAAACAGGGAAAATGTCAACTTTCATCTCTTCATGCATTCTGAGCGCGTTCATTGCATACTGCAACCAGTATACATTTCGTGAACTCGTCGTGTCTTCAAATACTACGAAATATGACTATAAAATGAATATAAAAATCTTGAATTGCTATCATAATGACACTTAGTAGAATGTTTTCATGTTTTTCTCGTCTTCCTTGTTTATATAACTGTTGACAAAAGGGCGACGATTCAGGGCCTTTCTTGGACTGCCTGGTTTACATACCAAGCGCTGTTTCAATACCTTTTCGGAAACACAGAACCCCTGCCAGCTTCCAGCACTATTCTGGATTCTAGAAAGGATACATGCCTCTTTAAGACATTCAACAGTAGCAATATTGTGGACATTCGTGTTATTTATTGCGTCTGCCACTTACTTGACTCGTTGTATTTCTTTTCTGATTGTAAACCTAAATCTGTGTGTTTAAATATAATTTGTTGAACTTGTGTCAGTGTGACTAAAAGTGATAGTTCGGAGATGACATAACAACAGAACTACCCTATGACATGGATCTTTACCCAGCACAACTGAAGTATCATGGAGTTACTTCCCTTTGACCGTTTTGAACTTGTCAGCAGTTTGAGAGGTACGTTGATGGTGGTCTTATGAGTGAGTGAGTATGGTTTTACGCCGCTTTTAGCAATATTCCAGCAATATCACCTCGGGGGACACCAGAAATGGGCTTCACACATTGTACCCATGTCGGGAATCGAACCCGGGTCTTTGGCGTGACGAGCGAACGCTTTAACCACTAGGCTACCCGACCGCCCCTGTGTGGTCTTATGACTAATACACACCTAGAAATGACAACAACAAATTACTTCCGTCAGAGACACATCAGGTACCAAAGCGTAGCTTCAGATCTTAGTGCTTGTTGAATTATTTGAGATCAATTAAAACTAATGCGCGAGAGTCCGGTTAGCATTGAGGCTTTGCTATTCCAAAATTAACACAAACTTACGAGACCTGTAGACTCGCTCTTCGGACAACAGCCATAACCTACAAGTCGGTACCCTTCCCCTCACCGAACGTTGTGTAAGGCATTAACGTCAAACAGCACCAAGAGGACTTGGCTCAGAGAAAATGAAAACAGGTTGTCCCTGCGTCAAGAGAGGATAATGGACCCTCTGTTCTTTAACCTTATCAAGCCAGAGGGCAACTCACAAATGCTTGTGAAAAAGATATTTTAGATAAGGCAACATAATAAGGCAAGAATGCTCAATTACACCAACTGACCAAATAGACAGACCAACAAGAGATTAGCACTAGCTTACAAACCTTGAAGAAATGTTCTCAGAAACATTGGCATGTACAGCATTTCAGTACTCTTCTCCTAGTCGTGCGTGGTGAACAAGCACTATCATCCAGCAGCACCAAGATAACTCAAGAGGCTCAGACAATGAAAACGGCTTTTCCCTGAAAGAAGAAAAGATACATGTACAATGGACATTCTGTCCAAACGGAAAGCTCACACATGTCTATATTTAAACAAAATCTGTTCAATAAACATCAAATACACTAGGCTTCAAAACCTGCTTATCGGTCAAAATTATATTCAAGTTGCTGTAGGTAATTTGGAATTTGTTGAAGCATCGACAACCCATTTTCTTAAATGTGTCATATTTTATGTATATATCAGATATAATACTGTTAAATCACAACATAAAGAACAAGAGTGCTCTGAGAACACAACATCCCCGCATGAATGTTTTTAACGAGTTGATTTCAAAAGCTTAGTACCTCTCTCACAATTAGGCAAATGAAACTCCGTAAAACAGGGGCAGTAAACCTGTCAATATTTGTCGAAATATGCGTATCATCAACCTGTCGACATCTTGTGTGTAGAGTGTCAGGGATATTCTCTTAAAGCTGGAGGAGGAGTTGATTTCACAAGCTGAGTGCCCTCTGTGGGACGGACAGACGGACGGACAGACAGACAGGCAGACGGACGGACGGACTGCGCCACGACAAAATCCCCCTTCGGCCATTCTTAAATATATATAAATATAAATTATTCAGGCTTATCATAATGTATCTGACATTGGTATTCTAGTGATCAACACATTTACTGATTTACTGTTAAACATTTCAGACAACCAATACACTATAGAGACATGCTTCTCTTCTTTAGAATTCCAAGGCACTATGGAGACATGAGACCCTTCTTATGATTACTAGAAGACTTCAAAGACGGCAGAACCTAATTCAGACCACTGGGACACCATATATACATGGGACCCTCCCTCACAATAATTAAGGCCCTCTTTCACAATATCAGGTGGCTATAAAGACATGAGGCACTTCTTCAGGCTACCATGGAACTAGAGGCATGATACCCTCCGTCAGACTCCCAGGGGATTATAGAAACATGAAACCCTTTTTCGCAATAGCAGGAAACTTCAGAGACGTGAGACCCTCCGTCAGACTATCAGGAGACAATGGGCAATGAGACCCTACGTCAGACTACCAGGAGATTGTTGAAACTTAAGATGATTCTCATTTAGACTACCAGGGGACTATATAGAAAAGAGGTCCTCCTTCAGATAACCCTGGGACTATAGAGACAGAAGGCCCTCTTTGGTATTATCAGGACGCCATAGAGACATGAAACCTTTAGACTACCCGGAGAATATAGAGAGGCGAGATCCTACTTTAGATTATCCCGGGGACTATAGAGACTTGAGTGAGTGAGTGAGTATGGTTTTACGCCGCTTTTAGCAATATTCCAGAAATATCACGGCGGGGGACACCACAAATGGGCTTCACACATTGTACCCATGTCGGGAATCGAACCCGGGTCTTCGGCGTGACGAGCGAACGCTTTAACCACTAGGCTACCCGACCGCCCCAGAGACTTGAGACTCTCCCTCTGACAACCAGGGACTATAGAGACATGATACCCTCCTTCGGAGCTACCAGGGGCCTTTTGAGACATGAGACCCCCCTTCAGGCTACCAGGGGACTATAGGCATGAGTCCCCCCTTCAGACTTCCAGGGGACGATAAAGACATGAGACCCTCCCTCCGACAACCATGGGACTATAGGGACATGAGGCCATCCTTCAGACTACTAGGGGACTATAGGCACGAGACCATCCTTCAAACTACCAGGGGATTTTAAAGACATGATACCCTCCTCCAGACTACAAGGGGACTATAAAGACAAGAGACCCTACTTCAGACTACTAGGGGATGATAAAGACATGAGACCCTCCCTCCGACAACCATGGGACTATAGAGACATGAGACCCTCCTTCAGACTACCAGGGGACCGTAAAGACATAAGACCCTACTTCAGACTACAAGGGGACTATAGAGACAGGATATTCTCCTTGCAGATTACAAGGAGTCTATAGAGACATGAGACACTACTTAAGACTACAAGGAACTGAATTATGATAAGCATAATGTTCAGTTGCTGAATATCAAACGAGACATGTCTGCGCATATGACTGAGAAAGAATTAAAAATAAGATTATATTGAATAATGCCCAGTTAGAATCAAGGTGAATTACTTACTTTGGTTTGCATAGTGACTGGGATAGTTCAGGTTAATTAATTAGTCGTTTTCAGGAGACAGAATAAATCTTAGAATATATAATCACACCACCCTAATGCGAAACTCTAAATAATATAGAGTTATTTCCCTTTGATCATGAATTTGTGTGCATGTGACTATCCCTACAACTTGAGGTGAACAGAAAAATTATGCTTGTCATGGGGTCATATATGGCAACAAGGTCTATATACGCCTGAACAATAGGAGGCTACAAAGAGACAAGAGTCCCCACACTTCAACAGAAGACCTTGCAAACAGATGAAAGACACATCGGAAGTTTGAGCCTTCAAACAGGAGATTCTCTCATCGACACATATTTGTTTTCCCTCACACCTTCAGAATATTATAAACATGCAAGAGACTCACCAAAAAGAAGAATCTAACACATTTGAACACAAGATCATCATTCAAACCATTACATATACGAATATGGATACCATCAGAAGAATGAACTTGCACCAGGAAGCAGAACAAGCAGGCAATTCGAATTATCAAACCATATGCCATCAAACAACAAGGGGATTCCTATTATTAAAATATTAGTCATGCAAAAAAGAGTTAAGAAAACCACTTTCAGTCAATCAGTAGATTCACTCAGTAGCCTTCAACAAACAGCTATGAAATCCTACTTCATAATCAAGAAACCATCCAGAAATACAATCAAAATGATTCCCTTAACGAAGGATCCCAAGCAGTCAGGTTACCATTGGCTCAAGCAGGATGTTCAATTTCACATCAGGAGTAGGTTCACCTTCACACCAGCAGAAGGTTACCCTTGGCAGCGACAATTTCCCCTTCCCACCATCAGAAAGTTTCCCTTTACACAGGAGGAAGTTTCACAGAAACAGGAGGTTTCCCTTAACACCAGCAGGGACCTGGCAAACAAGTGACAAAGATACATTTACCAGGCAGTTTGCCAAACAGACAAGCATGGGGCTTGAAAAGGAGACATACAACAGGGAGAACGTAGCTGATATGCCTCAATGAATGATATATTTACTTGATTTATACACACTTGAAGATATAGAGACTGAAAGAAACTATTATCAATTATACACACAGGTTACCCCATCATCTTACCAAGCGATCATACTGACCCCTTCATACTTCAAGGATATTATACAGACAGAAGACCTGTTCACATGCCAAGAGTCTATACAAACAGAAATCCCCTTACCCTACCAGGAGCCTGTTCAGGCAGAATGATCCTTCGCCCCAGTAGGTGGTGATGCAAACAGGAAACCCCCTTCACTCTATTAGGTGAGGTGAGGTGAAATTGGGTTTAACGTCGCGTCCAAGATTATTGCACTTATATAGCGACGTGCATGCACGTGTATGTGTGTGTGTGGCTGCTTGTACTAGTCCGGACTGATGCCGATTTATAGTGCTAGCTCACTGAGATACCATGCCGCAGTTTAACATGAATACCTCACTCAGACACAGTATACTGACTCCGAGCCGACCAGTCCTTGTTTTAGCCCCTTAATGCCGAGCGCCAGACAGGGTAACAACAAGTACAATCTTTTAACGTCTTTTTGTATGACGCGGCCCGGGATCGAACCCTGGACCTTCCGCTCTCCGGGCGGACGCTCTACCACAAGACCACGGAGGCGGTCCACTCTATTAGGAGATCAGCAACGGGTTACCCTTCACACCAGCAGGAGGTTTCCCTTCACACCAGAAGGAGGTTACCCTTCACACCAGCAGGAGGTTTCCCTTCACACCAGAAGGAGGTTTCCCTTCACACCAGAAGGAGGTTTCCCTTCACACCAACAGGAGGTTCCCCTTCACACCAGCAGGAGGTTCACTTCACACCAGCAGGAGGTTCACCTTCACACCAGCAGGAGGCTGTCCTTCACACGAGCAGGAGGTTTCCCTTCACACCAGCCGGGAGGTTACCCTTCACACCAGCAGAAGGTTCACTTCACACCAGCAGGAGGTTCACCTTCACACCAGCAGGAGGCTTTCCTTCACACGAGCAGGAGGTTTCCCTTCACACCAGCCGGGAGGTTACCCTTCACACCAGCAGAAGGTTTCCCTTCACACCAGCAGGAGGTTTACCTTCACACCAGTCGGGAGGTTACCCTTCACATCAGAAGGAGATTTCCCAATAGACAAGCAGGGGACTTGACGAGAAGTCATACAACAGAGAGAATATGGCTGACTTGTCTCAATAAATGATATATTTACTTGATTTATACACACTTAAAGATATGGAGACATGGGTAATTATACAAACAGGTAACCCGATCACCCTACCCAGACATTATACTGACCCCAAAATACTTACAGGAGGTTTCCCTTCACACCAGCAGGAAGTACCCCTTCACACCAGTAGCAGATTTTCCAGCAGGGGGGCTGGTAGACAAGCGAAAAAGAAATAATTTTTAGGCAATTTGCCAAATAGACAAACATTAGACTTAAAGAGCAGATATTTAACAGGGAGAACATGTCTGAAAGGATTTATGTACACATATTATATAGAGACCGAATCAAAATATTAGGTGACAATACAGACAGTAACCTCCTCACCCTACAGAGATATGAGACAGACAAAAGAAGCATTCATCATTCCAGGAGATAATTCAACCAGAAGGCGTTTTACACCCTTTCACCCTACCTTAAGTTAGAAGACCCCTTTACCAAAACACAAGACTGTACAAACTGAACATTCATTCACCCTACCAGGGGATTATACATATAGAAGACAACCCTCATCCTACTAGGTGGCAATACAGAAAGAAGACCCCTTCACCCTACCAGGGGATTATACAGATAGAAAACAACCTTCATCTTGCTAGGTGACTATACAGGCAGAAGAGCCCTCACCCTACCAAGCGACTGTTGAGGCAGAAGACCCCTCACCCTACCAGTAGGCAGAGGACCCCTTCACATTAACAGGAGTCTGTACAAACTGAACAGGCAGAAGAACCCACACCCTATCAGGAGATTGTTCAGGAAGAATAATCCTTCATCCAACCAGGTGATTATGCAAACAGGGAATCCCTTCACCCTACCAGGAGACCGTACACACAGGATACCCCTTTCACACTGCAAGCATGTACCAGGAGAATGGAAACATTTTCCCAAGAGTTTCCCTTCACAGCAGCAGGATGTTTACCTTCACACCAGTAGCAGATTTCTCTTCACAGAAGCAGGTTGTTTCCCTCCCCACTAGCAGGAAACCTCATAAACAATCAATAAAGAAACAATTACATGTGTCAGGCAGCTTTTACACCCAAGAGTGTATATAGACAGACGACTCCTTCACCCTACCTGGAGACTGTTCAGGCAGAAGACCCCTTCACCAAAACAGAAGACTGTACACACTGAACACCCATTCACCCTTCCAGAGGATTATACAGATGGAAGAATACCTTCATCCAACTAGGTGACAATACAGACAGAAGACCCTTTCACCCTACCAGGAGTCTGTACAAACTGAACATCCATTCACCCTACAGATAGAAGATACCTTCATCCTACTGGGCGACTGTACAGGCAGAAAAACCCTCACCCTATCAGGAGATTGTTCAGGAAGAATAATCCTTCATCCAATCAGGTGGTTATGTAAACAGGGAATCCCTTCACCCTACTAGGAGACCGTGCACACAGGATACCCTTTTCACACTATAAGCATGTACCTTCACATCAGTAGCAGATTTCTCTTCACAGAAGCAGGGTGTTTAACTTCACACCAGCAGGGGACCTGGTAAACATATGATGAAGAAACACTTATCAGGCAGTTTGCAAAAAAGACAAGCAGCGGACTTGAAGAGCAGATATATAACAGGGAGAAGATGGCTGAAATGCCTCAAGATATATTTACTTGATTTAAGCACACCTATTATATAGAGACTGAAGGAGTTATTAGGTGATAACACAGACAGGAACCTTCCTACCCTACCGAGAGGTTATACAGACAGAGCATCGCTTCATCCTTCTAGGAGATTATACTGTACACAAGAAACTGTACCAGCAGGATATCCTGTTCACACTACCAAGGGGCTTTACAGTCAGAAGACCCCTTCAACTTACAAAGTGTCTGTGCAGATAGAAGCCCCCCTCACCCCAGTGAGTGATAGTGTCATTAGGGAAGGGCAAGAAGGGGACTTGAAGTGGAGATATACAACAGGCACAATATGCCTCACAAAATGATGTACCTACTTCATTTGTACACACCTAAAGACATGGAGAACAGACGGAAATAAATCATTAGTTCATTATACAGACAGGGATTCTCTTCATTCTACCAAACAATCATATAGACAGAAGACCCCTTCACCCTATAAAGTGTCTGTAAAGAGAGAAGACTGACGGCCCCTTTACCCTAGAAGGAGCCTGTACACTCACCCTAAAAACATATTTAAAGACAGAAGATCCTATAAGGGAACTGTACAGATAGGAGGCCCCTTCTCCTAACCAAGAGGATGTGCAGGAACAGGACAACTTCACACTATATGCAGAAATCCTTCTTCATACTACTAAGACTAAAAAGGCTAGAATATCCTTATCCTGCTTGTGTGAAAAAGGGTCAGTATAGTCTCCTGATCTGAAGGCCACCTTTACACTACCAAGATACTAAGACTCTCCTCTTCACACCATACGAACAGTAACCATCCTTTACCTATTCGAAGACAACCTAGGTAAATATATATGTAGGGGCAATAGAGACACGAGACCAGCCATGATAATGATACAATACAAACAAAAATATTTTGTTGATATGTGACATGACAATAGATGCAAAAAGACATTCACGACTGAGCTGTTGCTTGTTTCTTCACATAAGATGAAAAGACAACCAGCAGTGACCTTTGTTAATTGCATGAAGTGATTTCAAAACATGACAAGAAACAAGTCAGTTTTGATCGCAATTTTCAGATTCGGTTCCTTCGGGTTTCATCTGTAATCTGAAATGGCGAATGAAACACAATATTATAGAGTGTAAGAGTATCCGAAAAAAGGATTTTGTGGTCTGATGATGAAGGACATGCAAAAGGATGTTATGCTAACTTTATTTTAATTGCAATGTTCCACATGAAACACCTGTGGTGGTCTTGACAGTTCTGTCAAAATGTGCTTTAATCAAAGATAAATAATATTGTCAATCCCAAATTCCGGGTAACTGTTTCAAAAACATATATACAGTTATGTAATAAAATATACCTGACGTAAAAGGGATTATAGTAAGATCAGGTTAAATATTCATATTGATTGAATAAGTACAGTTGTGTTAATATGGCATTTTTATATTCATGCATAGGACGAAGGGGAACTTATACCAAGTAAATACAATAAAAATGAAAATGGTACTGTATTTCATCGTCATAACCAAAAAAAACCCATTCGGGTACAGTGTTGATCCGGAAGAGGTGATTAGAAAATAATGATAAAGAATAAACACGCTCATTAATATTATTATGATTAAGTGATATATAAAAAAATAATGGCATGTCATAGAAGTGGGGAATTCAACGATGTTTATAGGCCCGCGATCAATCTCACTACTAAGTCCTGGGATCTTGTATAACTAGTGACAAGAAGTCATGGAACATGTGTTTGAGTCCAGAACAAGCTCGCAAATGTGTTTCGAATCAAGCACAAACATATAAAACAAAACATGATCAAATCAAATTGCATATATTCATACGCATGTATGCATGTGCGTCCGCTTTCCGAACGAAAGAGTGACATCATTTTCATTTTAACAAATGTTTTCATTTTCATGTAAAGATAACATTTAAGTGATTTGAAAACTGCAAGAAACGTAAAGATAAAGTAAAAATCTGTAAAGCATATTTGTTCCAAAATATCCAATGTGACCTGTTACCTGTGACCTGTGACATTCGGGCAATCGAGATTTGCGGTGCGGATGGTGCGGCAACACTGCAGCAGGCCAGGATTAGTTACACTGTACACGGCTCTGAAACGTCTTGCCAGAGTTGGATTTGGGTGTTGGAATTACGTTGGGATCCTTCTTAATATGGAAATGTCAGAGCCGCAGATCTGTCGTGAAGTAAGCGAATTTTCTAATTTGAAACATCGATACGTGCGACACCATTACAGCCATGTGCTGATTTACAACAGGGTATTTAATGCTACACACTGTCTCGTGGAACAAAGTAAAACGTGATAATATTTTAATTGCAAAATATATGTTTTGTGTTGCGTAAAGGTTAAAAAAGTAATTTAATTAAGTTTATATAGGTATAAGGAATATCACAATTGTGTGTGGTAAGCTATTTCCGGGTCATACGGAGGTGACCTTATGATAATGCGTCAACGCCGTCTGGTGATGGAATGTGTAACCAGTGATGAGACATAAATAGAATTAGAACATAATTGAAACAAAAAGTGGAGAATTTGGTAGAATTTACAATATCAACACGTAAATTCATTGGAAGTCCAAGATAGCACCTTGGTGACACGGATAACTACCGGAAGTCATACCGAAGAAACAGAAAATAAAGACAGAACAAACACAAAAGCAAGCATTTAACATACGTACTTACATTTAATGTGTAGATCCAAAGGAATGATAACTAGAACTTTCCATTCCAAAGAAGGACATTTTTGTACAAATTCCGGGATAGGCTGAGTGTCTCCAATTTTTCTAACGAAGACACAAAGGATACTCGTTACATTACATGAATGAAATGTGATGTTGGTCCACAAACATATCCCACCCCTCACACCTCACTTCCAATATTCAATAGTCTGTCCCATAAACAAACTCATGTAACTTCATATACACATTGAATGGTGTTTCATACATCTACACAAAACACCATAGCCTATTTCGTAAAAGGGTAGTGGCTTATTACGCAGTAGTGTAGTTGAACAAACATAGTTTTAATAAACTCTGTGAATTACATTTAACAAAAAAGAATAAACAAAACATAATTTATACACATCCAAGTTTGTCCCTTATCGAAATACAGTAAACTACGGATATAACGAACACGCTTATAACGAACTGACGGATATAACGAACCTACTTTTTTGTTCCGACTATTTCCTGTCGTTATGCTGTTTATATGCTTATAACGAACTACGATTATAACGAACTAAAATAAATGGTCCCTTTGAGTTCGTTATAACCGTAGTTTACTGTAGTGTTTGAAAAATAGAAATTATATCCACGCCACAAGTTCAGAAGATATTGTTTTCAGTTCACCACTTCACAATGTTTCAGCACTAAACTCTTAACAAACACAAGGGTAGTTCCATATAGTGTATCCGTAGCTATATATCCAGAAACAGAATGATCCAACTATTGAGACGAATATTTCCCAGGAAAGACGTCCTCACACTTCAATACATAGCGTAGGGCGTCGCCGGGCTTCGCGGTACAATGTACATCTATGACTTAGATGGTGTTCAAGGTAATCGGGGTATATTTATTACCTACATGTTCCAACATGTTCCGAACAGCCGCACCTGGGTTGTACACTTACAACTGAAAGTACGTTCTGTCATTTTCCATCATACGATAACCAGTTCAGTGTATGCACGATGTATTTCCTCCTGAAAGGATAATGATAGATAACTACTTAAAAGGTAGTCACGATCAATTATATTTTGAAAGGCAGACGCGATCAGTTGTTGTGCAGACACGATATAAACATTCACAGAGGCATGCGTGATACAGCTACCCCACAGAACACTATACACTATATGCATGTTGACCTGCATATGTACGATACACTGAACAGAGGACAGTTTACCTTGTCGAATGATCAGGGGAATTAAATACATGAACATTGCATTGTTTTCCACTTCTCATTCCTGATTATGTTAAAGGCCCCCATTTAACAGCTAAATTACGATTAACTGTTCCACTTTAAAAGAAATAAGCTCCAACGTTCGATGGGTATGGCGGATGGGAGACTAAACAAATGGGAAAGAGACGAGGTGAAATGGGGTTCAAGATTATGCCACGATTACAGTGACGTGCATGCACGTGTGTGTGTCCATACGTACGTGTGTCCATGTGTATGTGTGAGTGTGTGTGTGAGTGTGTGTTTATGAGTGTGTGTTTATGAGTGTGTGTGTGTGTGTGTGTGTTGTTGTGTGTGAGTATATGTATGTGTTGTTGTGTGTGAGTGTCAGTTCGAGTGTGTTTGTGTATGTGAGTGAGAGTGAGTGAGTGGGTGATTGGGTGCGTGAGTGATTGGGTGATTGGGTGCCTGAATGAGTAAGTGTGTGTGTGCGTGTGAGTGTGTGTGTGTGTGTGTATGAGTGTGAGTATGTGTGTGTGTGTGTGTGTGAGTTCGTGCGTGTTTGTGTATGTGTGTGAGTGAGAGTGAGTGAGTGAGTGAGTGAGTAGGTGTTCGAGTGGGTGGGTGAGTGAGTGAGTGAGTGAGTGAGTGAGTGAGTGAGTGAGTGTGTGTGTGTGTGTGTGTGTGTGTGTGTGTGTGTGTGTGTGTGTGTGTGTGTGTGTGTGTGTGTGTGTGTGTGTGTGTGTGTGTGTGTGTGTGTGTGTGTGTGTGTGTGTAACTGACATTCCTTGCTAAAAGCCAGGCAGGATAACAACTATCTTTCATCAGGATACGAAGCCTACCTGTGCCAGTTAACGTCCAACAATTCCAGTGGCATTCACTTAACTTACCACCATAACCTTTTAGGTTCAATCCGAGACGATGTACGATAAAACGACGGGGGCCATCGCGTTACTGAATACGATTACAAAAAATAGAACTTATTTTAGTTTTCAAACGTAAATATGTCTTCGAAATACAGTCTTAAGTCAAATTATACATTTTTCTATATGGCCTTCCAATTGTTAACTGTTACTATTGAAAACGTTGAATTGTGTGAATGTATATACTAGTTAACATAACCATTTGAAGACAATCATGTTGTTACAGGTGGCAAACGCCTTGGCGGTTAAAGAATACATAGAAACCTCCGCCATCCAGAACCTGCTCCTTCGCAACCCAGAACGGTACCGAAATGTTATCTGTGACCGAAATCAAGACGCGGCACAGTTGGCACTAACATTTCCAGCCAATATACAGTATCAAACTCAAGATGTAAGTTTCACATTTTACTCTTTGTATGTTTGTGTATGGTGCTATTACGTGTTTATGAAACCCTGTGTGGATTCCGAGAGAGACTAGGTCCCAGTACACCAAATAACGAGGATGCAAGTACGAACAGTTAGGTCATCATTTCATTTTTTTAATAATAATTATCTTTATTATTCAGCCATTGAGGGAGCAGCAACGGATCTTCCGGATGTTCATTGAGTATAGTGTGTACTCAGGGATGAGCATCACGGAGGCACTGGATACCGTTAGGACAGCGCTGAACAAGTTCTTGGATGATCTGTAAGCAGCCAGCGGATGCGATGTTGTAGGAAATGCGAGTGTACGAATGAAGGAACATCGGTGCTGAAGATAGTGTGCAATACTTAGTGAAAGAACAGATATGTAGCAGTGTCTGGGTTAATACAACTGGAACGAATACATGACTTTAGCAATCCGGCGAAGCAGGTTGGGAACATCAAAACCATGTCGTGTTGATACCCCAGACACTTGTCAGAAAACTCAAGTCAGACAATTGTGCAATTGTACATGTTAAACAGCATTCAGGAAATATGTACATTTCTTTAAGGCTATCTTATGAAAGAGTGTTAGAGCCTCCTCGGAATGTTTACAGTTGTAAACCATTGTGGAGAGCCTAACCCGGTTTGCTCATACAAGTGCAGTACAGTAAACTTATACCATTCAAGTGCATCTAAGATATTCCAAGTCTTCCTGTTACCTGTGCATTGTACAACACGTCTTTAATAATTGTTTTGTAGTCTTTCTGGAAATGTTTTTATATAAACAAAGATGTTCATGTAAGAAAATGATTTTTCGCTTTTTCTCTCCATACACACTTGATTTCATTTATCAACTAAGTTATGGTGAAATGTATGGTAAGATTTGCAGAATTGTAAACTATGGGACGAAAGAAAGTTTGCTTTATGCAACTGAAAATTGAAATGATTGTTGTATGATTTGATTACGTCTTTTTAACCACCATTCATTCCTGTAACAGTTTGTGAAAAGTAATATGTGGCTGGGTAATTGTGTGTAAAAATAGATTGGTTCAATGAAGACAAGGTAAGAATTGAACACGCAGCGACATGACCCCTACGACCCGTGGAGACTCCGGGGTAGAATAGGTCTTCAACAACCCATGCTTGCCGTAAAAGGTGACTATGCTTGTCGTAAAAGGCGACTAACGGGATCGGGCGGTCAGGCTCGCTGACTTGGTTGATGCATGTCATCGATCCCAATTGCGTTTATCGATGCTGATGATATTAATCACTGGATTGTCTGGCCCAGTCTCGATTATTTACAGACCGCCGTAATATAGCTGGAATATTGCTGAGTGCGGCGATAAACAACAAACCAACCAACAACCAACATGACCCCTACCAGGTTTGAAATGTTGAAAACAAAATTATATATTTTATAAAATAGGAAAAAAGTGAAAGCATTCTTTGAGTGCTGACTAAGTGCCATGGCAGTTCATTTTTGGATACAATATAACTTAATCTAACTCTAAGGTATTTTCAAATGAAATTCAAACGTGTGATAAAATCAGTTGAGAGGTAGATCAACTTAGCAGTGTGAACTTTAGTATGGATCATTAATAGCCTATATTAGGAATATAAAGTGTAATACGCGGAAACAGAAGAAGGTTATAATCACTATATCATTCTTAAAATAATCGACGAATAAGGCGTATTTTCAATGAAGAAATGTTTATAAAGCGCACATGAGTGTGTTTGAGTGAACCATCCAATATTTTTGCCAATATTATCTTTGAGGCAATGTTTACAGTTTGGTTTATTGGATCTAAAACATTACCCTTTAGATGATCAATTGATTTGAATGGCCTGTTCATAATACGTTTTACCAGAACGCCTCATAGAGTATTTCCTCTATTAGACGCCGTGTCGTCAATAGTTTTAGCGTAAGCTGGCTAGAGGCGCCTATTCTGTTTAATGCTCGCACAGTTGCAACTCACTACCTTACCGAATCCCAAATTCTACAGTAATACAAAAGGTACATTTGCAGGAAACGGTCATCATTAAGTGAAGGGATTAATCCTTATATGCCGTAAGTTAATGTGAAAGGGATCATTAATTTCATCAAATAATGAACCCGGCGTCTAACAGAGGCCCGGCTTCTATTGTATGGACAGAGCGCGTATTGGCGTGCGTTAAGAGGAAAGACGGTAACTTCAATTAAACTTGCATGTCTTATCCACCGTGTGCTATGTTAAAAAAACCACCTGCTTAGCATTTGTACCCGGCGATTCTGCGTCCATTTGTTCATTCATTGTAATGTGTGTGAGGCTGACGAAATACAACCGCAGAAGTAACAACAAAGCTACACACAAAGCCATTCGTGACATACAACCAACACTATCGACATGGCGATTGTGCAATGTCATGGTGGGAATACCTGTATTATATTTAGAACACGAGTTCTCAAAACACAAATCCACGTGACCTGCGAACTGAGCTTCAAAATAAGGGCAAAATATGTTTAATTTAGTTTTTTAATTTGTGAAATGCCTGACAGATAAGGTAATGTACACATTACAGACATTTTGTCACGAAACGAAAGTACAAGTGTTTCGCTCATAGTTTATGGCCAGGTGAGTGTGTAATTATATAAAAAATGCACACCAGGAAGGGGAATTAAAATGTAAGGAAACATGTTTCAGTACATTTCTTACTGAAACACTTTTAGTAAGTGAGTTGGGTTTAACGCCGCTTTAAACAGTATTCCAGTCATATGACGGCGTTGAAAAACTTATAACGTTTATCACACACAGAGAGAACACGACTAGGCCTTACAATATATCTATGCCAGTGATAGCAGAAATATATCGATATCACGTTCTTGACATAACTCATTGTAAGTGTAGAACAACTACACTTGAACACCTTGAATATACCATTGTGGACACTTGCGATATATATTTACCCCGATATGCACTTTCCGTTTTAATATTCTGCAGTCCGTTTTTAGTATAAACAGGTGGCGCGGCCCGACACAGCTTTTAGTACCCCGTACAGACCCACCACAAAACACCCCGAAAGCTTAACGAAGGTCCTGTATGATGCACTTGCTTGTTGTGCTACTACGTTGCCAGCATAATAATCGAATCAGATTCAGTTACGTATATCAAGCAGGAAAAGATAGAAGGTGACGTGTGTGAGTGTGAGAGATCATTGTTAGTGTCTATTACAAAATGGAGGAGGGTCAGGGGGTTACCACGCTCGACTAATAAAACCCGCTGAGGCTGTGAGTTGAGGGCGAATGGGGTTGATCGTGTGTGTATTTGTGTGTGAGCGTGAGCATGCGGGTGCGGGTGCTCGCGCGTGTGTGAGTGTGTGTGTAAATGTGAGTATGGCTGCTTGTACTAATCCGTACCAATGGCGGTTTTATAGTGCATGCCCACTGACATACCATGCCGCAGTTTAACATGGATGCCTTCTGAGCATCCAGTAGGAAGTTATCGAGGTCTGGTATCTAAGACAGTTTATGACAAATCAGGAGAATGGAAAACCCTCAACAGTAAACTGCGACACAAAACGTAAAGTCCTGTGTTCCGAACGTCTAACGTCTTGTGTACCGCACAGGCGGGCCACCTTCTGTCAGTGCATAGTCTGTGGTCATGTATCACTTGGCGCTAAAGCCTAAGGGATGTAGGAGTTACTCCCCTTGGTTCGCTGGTATACGTCAATAGGCATTTCAGTGTCGTGGGTGGCACTACGGTCAGCTCTGGCGACGGTTACTGTTTAGTATATTATTGAAGTAGGACTGTTTTAACATTTTAGATACAGTACTTATATTGTCAGTAATTTGAATGTGGAGAACAACTTACAAAGAGAGACGAGTCATACCAGAATGAGCGAGAGAGTGTAGCATTACGGCAGGGGACACCAGAAATGTGCTTCACACATTGTACCCATGTTGGGAATTGAGCCTGAACGCCGTATATCCAGGCTTCCCTACAGACCCAAGCCATAAGAAAGTAAGCAATTGGAAAATTGGCTAAGACTGTAATTCATGAAGTATGATAGATATGTTCATGGCCCAGACCCTAAACTAGGGGTTGTCAGAGAGCTAATTGAGAGCTAATTGAGGAGAATTACGGCAAATTCAAAAGGAGATTACTAACGGGTGATAAAACCACTATGATCCCGAGTCAAAACTTCAATCCATGGAATGGCACCACGTCTCCACCAACAATGAAATTCAAATCGTCAAGATCACTGAAGAAAGTTATGGCCACTGTATCCTGGGATGGGGGGACATGGGTGGCCCAGTCGTCTAAGGCGCCGCGATTCGCCGTCATATAGCTGGAATATTGCTGAGTGCGGCGTTAAACCACAAAAAAACATGTATTTGGATAAACAACTTCTTTAACACAACCAGGTGCGACGTTTGGGTGAAGGTTCTAACACATTTTGCTGGATAACAGTGTTAGAACCTACAATGAAACGTCGCTCCTAATTGTAATAAATAAGTTGTTCATCCATATATTGTATCCTTATTCAAGTCATTATCAGGCTGCAGTACATGCCATCGTCTGGAGAATATAAACATATAAGTCGTTTTCGTTGGCACATGCGAGCGGTGTTCATTAAAGATTTCCCCTGATCCACTTCCGATTGACCAAGTGGAATGAAACTTGGCATAGGTATTAGTCTTTCTCCACATAGGAACCACCAAGAGTTACACACTTCTCCCATCGTTTTATGCAACTATGGAGACCTCGCTTGTAAAAGCCCTCATTTTGCATCTCAAACCAGGATTTGACTTCAGAAATCAGTGTTTCATCATCTGTGAAACGTTTTCCCTTCAAAAGTAACTTCATGGTTGGAAAGAGGTGGAAGTCAGATGGTGCAAGGTCAGGAGAGTAAGGAGGATGTGGAAGGATTTCATAGCCACAGGACGGGGCTTCTGTCTGGGCAACATGAGAGTTGTGTACTGGAGCATTGTCTTGCAGGAGACGGACACCCTTAGTCAGCATGCCACGCCTCTTAAGCAATTTCAGCAGCAGTGAAGCATAATAAGCTCCTGTAATTGTTGTACCGTTTGCCAAGAAATCCATCATCACTACTCCGTGCTGGTCCCAAAACACCGTGAGCATGACCTTGCCTGCAGAGGGTTGGACACGTCCCTTCTTTGGGGGTGGTGACTCCACATGCTTCCATTGCATGACTGAACTTTAGTCTCAGGATCGTAGTGGTAGACCCATGTTTCATCCTGTGTGATAAGTCTGTCAAAAAAGTTGCCTGTTTTTCAGAGATCCTTTGAGCAATTGACTCGTTCCTGCTTTTGGAAAGGTGTGAGCAACCTGGGATTCCATCGTGCACCTTATGCATGTTCAAATTGTCATGGATGATTTTTCCCACAGACCCTACACTGATCTTGACATCTTTTGCTAACTGGCGTACAGTTATACGTCTCCACTTGATGTATAGTGTCCTCATCAATGGCTGAATGGGGGCGACCAGGAATGGCAGCTGTTTCCACAGATGTCCGACCACACTTGAACTGGCGATGCCAGTGTTTAACAACGTCATATAATGGGACATCTTCCCCATATGTGCAACATAACATGGCGCTGTCACGTTCTTGCTCGTCATTTCAGATCCTTTCAGGTCTTAGCAGATTTAGGTCAGGCAGGGCCTCCTAATCGCGTTGCAGAGTTACACTTGTAGGTAGATTACTCTCACGATTTGGTTTCGAAGTTATAGT